AGACCCTTGACTACGACGTACCCGTTCGTGTACGTGAGCTCGGAGATTATTCGGTTGCGCTGGTGGTCGTCGAATGGCCCCTGCAATCGTCGGAGAAAATTACGCCGCAGGCGACGCTTCGATCCCTGTTGGAACTGGCCGCACGAGAAGAGAGGTGGGTGGATGGCATCACTCTGGTTGCCGACGAATGGCTCATTTTCGAAGATCTCGGTTTTAACGCATGTTTCGTCGAGACTTTTCAAGAACTGCAACGGTTGGGCTACGATCCGTGTGCCATCGTTCAGCGATGCAAAGATCACGAGACTCGACGGTTGGGTCGGTTGCCCTTTAACGCGAACTATTTAACGGAACCATTTTTCACACGTCTGAATTTGCACCGACTGTTGGCAAAAAGAATCGATTCTCTGCAAAAATGAAACGAGCGTGGCACGAGGATCCGGTCTATGCGGCCGAGATCGAATCAGCCATGAAGGTGGCGGCCGTGATGTTCGATTCGGATGAAGACGTTGACGATTGGGAGAGGAATTTTCCTTCGGACATGGAGGCGGATTGCGGTCTCGAGAAAGGGTGCGATGGCGACGACGACAACGACGACGACGACGACGACGACGAAGAAGATGAGGAGAAAGAGAAAGACGATGACGAGGAATTGGACGCGGACTATGTAAAGAAGAACTTTGATCGATTGTACGTACAAAAGGTGGTTGGTTGGATAGAGGATGGAAAGAATGTGTTTATCACCGGGTCACCGGGTCGAGGCAAATCGACCTGCGTGGGTAAGGTGATAAAAGAATTGTACGGAAAGGGCGTGAGGCTCGTGGCTACCGGGTCCACCGGTGTGGCAGCAGTCAACATCGGATACGATGCTCTGGAGGAACTCTTAAATGCTGTTAATCGAGAGTTGTTGTCGGGCGAGATGGAAAGGATTCTTTCTCCGACCACGGTTCACAGTGCCTTTGGTTTGAGGAAAATGGAGTGTGGCTGGCTCAACGAGCATAGGCAAAATGAACAAGGGATCGAATCGTTCATGAGGCTATACGTGAAGCACCACAGCCGTTTTCGTAGTTCGTTTCTCAAAAGCCAGCGGTCACTGTCGTGTGCAAATGTTCCGAAAATTGCACACGCCAGCCTGGTTATTTTGGACGAGGTTTCTATGACCGACGGACTGTTGGTTGAAGCGCTGGACGCGGTAGGCAGATTTTGGCATCCCGAAACCGATCGCCCATTTGGTGGTATCGGGATGGTGTTTGTCGGTGATTTTCAACAATTGCCGCCCGTGAATAGTGGTACGCGAAAGAACCCCAACTTCCTGTTCGACAAGAAGAAATGGACTACCCCGACCTCTAAAGGTGGATGGATCGATCACGTGCTGCAGCTCAAGGTCAATATCCGTCAAGAGGGAGATTTGGAGTATGGAAAGCTTATAGATCGAATGGCAATGAATGCACTGTTGGATGAAGATATCGAGTTGCTCCAGGCATGCGTAATGAGAGCGAACAGTTGCAACAGGGGCCTCTCTTTGGCCATGAATCCCTACATCATGCCTTTTGTTCCACGTATCTTTACCAATAAGGACCACATAGCTCAATATACACGAAGGGTGTTAGAAGAAGTCGGCGAAGAGACCAAGATCACTCTGTCTGCCCGAGAGGAGTACGAACCCAGCAAGGATAAAATTTGTCTCGCTTACGGCAAAAAAAATAAGGTACAAGGGAAGATTGATCAGTTCATCTCCAAATTGACAGAAGATTGCGATGCCGAATTGTTCATCGGTTGCCCCGTTCGATTTTTGGAAAACAAGAGCCTAGAGGAAGGGTGGTGAATGGTGCCATTGCTAAGTTAGTGGGGGTCGCAGAAAAGGGTGGACATCCCATCTTTGAATTGAAAAGTGGAAATCAGTACACGCTACCACGATCGAGTTCGACGATCTACCTCGATGATTACACTCCCCGACAACGTCGCGAGATTGACGTAGGGCGTATGCGACCGTTACCTGGAAGACCAGTGGCAAAGTTGACGTATAAGCATTATAGAGTCAAGATGGCATTAGCCATGACACCGTATGCCGTCCAAGGTTGTACCCTAGACACTGCCATCGTCCACCCCAACGTGGACTTCAAAAACGAATATACGACAATCGAAGCCCTTTTGGTATCACTGAGTCGACTCCGCTCCAGTGGCATTCACAGTCCCGGTCGAAAGGAAACGATACGCGCCATCCCAAAACCGACGCTGAGTTTGAATACTTCCGACGACGGTACACCGCAACCGCGCGGATTGTATTTGACGCGATTCGTTCCTTTTGACTACTACGTGAATCCAAAAGTCAGAAGCTACTTAGACAATATCAAAGAGCGGCATTCACTACTCCGAAACCATGGAAAGGGTGAACCCGAAGGGGACGTACGGTTACGTTGAGTTCAAAGATGGCCTGGCCATCAAAAGGCCGCACAAAGACATGGACCCCTTTGCCAACAGAGAATTTATTGCTTACAAGCGCATGAAACCTATATTGGACAAACTGTCGGTCGCTCGGTTGTACGAGGTGGGTGTATTGAGATGTTCGGAACAGTTGTCTTTTGTAGACGCGTTGTTTTTCGAGAACGTCGGTACCGACCTCGAACAGTGGTTTTTGTCGCAGTGGCTTTTCGACCCTGTGGAGGTATTGCTGCGTCCTCTGCTCTCTACCTTGGAGTACCTGGAAACTATCGGTGTTTTACACCTCGATGTTCACCCTCGTAACGTATGCGTGCGTCTCGATGGACGCGGACAACTGACGGCCAAACTGATCGATTTTGGCAGGAGCGTCGTGCTAAGAGACGATAACGAATGGGGCTGCCATCCAAAGTATACAGGATATCTGGTAGATCCTCTGACGGGAGTGTTCTCGAATCAAGATCATTTGCCCAAACCAGCCGCGAAAGAAGCCACGATGGAAGAACTTTACAACCTTTCTTTTTGTCGCGATCCCATGGCTCTTGTCGCCCTGGTGGTAAAAGGGCAACAAGAATTTCCATCTGGGTTGACGTTGGGTCCCGCTGACGATGTGTACGCTCTGGGCATGTGTGTCGTTCGCTCGTTGACCATGTTCCTGCACGTGCCCTGGGGAGAGTGGAAAGCGTTACACCAAGTCGAATCCGATGCAGAGTTTAGCGAAAAGTTGCACGTACTCTGTGACATCGTTCGGCGAAACCCTGCATGGGATTCTTCCTTTTTTTACGATTTACATCTGAGGATTAGACCAAATTCGTCGCGACCACAGGACGTCAGCGACTTTGAAGCAAGGGCTCGCGCAGTAGAGATACGTCTTCATAGCGTGAGCACGTTATACCCCCATTTTTTTGATCGCCTCACGGAAGTGTACGACGACGCAACGAGTCAATTGATCAGCAAATGCGTCCATCCCGATCGGCATCGTCGGTACAAGAGAGGCTGGAAGAGCGAAAAGAAACGACAAAAATTCGTTCGGCGAGGGTCGGTCGACGTCCAAGTGGTCAGAGACAAGAGGGTCATTCACGTGTCTTTGGGACGTTGCTGGATCATGACGGGAGTCGTGGAGTCGGGCACAGTGAAGTGGTGGACAGCAGCACGAGGGGCTATGATGAATGACAAAAGACGAGGAGCCATTGCTTTGAAGCTGTTTATTGAAAAGTCTATCGAGCTGGAGCCTAGTCTAAAGGACAAACGCTACCGGGAATGGCCGTTCGAGTTTGAGTTGCAGAAAGAAGCTTGGCTCAGGACGTTGGCCCTGTACGGTCATGAAGACAACCAGGAGCACCCTGAACGCGATACGGAGCCAGATCCTCTGCCTCGGGCGACCGGCATGAATGAACTAGCAAAAGGATGACACACACGACCAAAATTGCAACCAACGAAAAGGCGACAGCGACTAGGGTCGTGGAATTGGGACTGCAGGATGGTGAAGGCGAACGGCAATTTGCAGGCGTCGGGAGAGCGTCGTCGCTTGCGCGACGCAATCTCATCAGAACGCGATTATCCAGATATTGCCAGAGGTCGGTGGCGATGGCCGTAGTACCAACGCTGGGACGGTCCAAGCCGGCGACTGGATCTCGCAAGACGACAGCTGACACCTCGTGAAGGTCTTTAAGTATCAAGCGACCTGTTACCAGAAGAGCCACGAATCTCGTCCCTTTGACGTTGGCTCGCAGTCCAGTGAATGTGGGACCGTTCAGTCGTAGCGTCTCGCCCCAACTCGGCGGTGATAAAAGCACGGCGACGGAAGCGGGATTGGTTGCAAAGGTCAAGTTCTGCAAGGAGGTCTCAGTATCGAGATGCGATGATCGCGGTCTCAGTACGACGGCAGCGGTGCGATCTGCCGTAGGCACATACGTGACCGATGCCGTCGCATTGATGCATTCACCGTTGTCGAAAGTGATATCCCTGATGAGGAGCCCTTCCGCAGACAAGACGATTAGCGCGCAGTACGTGGGCCCCTGCGGGTCTACCAACACGAAGTCGCGAGTCTTTTGTAGCACGAGTCCTTCGAGGCACATGGGACGGAGCAGTACTCGACGCGTCGAAAGTCGCAGTGCACGGGAAACGGTGGCTTTCAGATTGCTCTCGGGGCACGCGATGGGATTTCGATCGGGAACCCGTGTGACGATCTCGTCATCTGGGGCTATCCACAGAGTGACGGAGGTGCTAGGATCTAGGGTGAGCGTATCGCCGGCATGTCCGGCGCACGAGTCTGCCTCGCATTTAAGCGTTTGTGGTTGCACGCCTATTGCTGCAGAAATGATTTGCAATGTAAAGAGTAGGTCGGCGACCGACATGACTTGAATTATATATGTGTGTATGTATGTATGACAATAAAATCATAGCATGTCTGAACAGTCTTGTTTCTTAATGTGTAGCCGCTTCGAGATTTGGAATAAAAAAAATCATTATTTTTTTAGTACACAGTTTTATTCATCGATACCATGTTTAGAATAGAATGACATGTACATGCAATTGCTAGCTTATTTCTTGTGACTGACTCTTTAGCTGCTACAGGCTCTCATGTGATCGTCGAGTAAATGGCTGGGAAACATCCTCTGGCAAGTAGGGCACTGCAGTTCGTTGGACGCTTGCACTCTCGGCCTCGAGGGGGGTGCTTGGACAGATTTGCGACATTCTGCTCGAGGTCTGAATGCACCTACTCCAGTCGTGGCCGACGAGTATCCTTGGTGAATCCGATGAGTCAGGTCCAGGTAGTTCTTTTGGAATCGTTCGCACTCGCCTGCCAAGCGGTGATTTTCTTTTTTCATCGCCTCGAGATCACCGGCTGCCTTGAGTTTTTCTTGGCGTTCCTTCTTAAAATCGTCCTCGTAACTCTTGAGGGCCATCTGCGCTAGTTGGAGTTCATCTTGCACTTCTTTCAACTTTGCCTGGAAGTCATCGCGCTGTCTCGTAGTTTGCAAAATGTCCCTCTGAAGTTTGGCCACTTTTTCACGTTCGCACTCGACTACCTTTTTCAGCGCCTCGGGATCACCTCCTGCCTCGCGTTCCTTCTTAACGAAACTCGTGAGGACCAAATGCGTTTGTTGGAGTTCATCTTGCACCTCTTTCAACTGTGCTTGAAAATCATCGCGCTGTCTAGTAGTTTGAAAAATATCCCCCTGAAGCAACGAGAGTTTTTTACGCAGGCTTTCCACCAGCTTTGCATTTTCTTCCGATTCAGTCTTTGCCTTTTCCAGTTCGCCTCGGAGGAGATCTTGCTCTTCTTCCATGTCTGTCAACTTGTTCCTCAGCATTTCCGTTTCGCCTTCGAGAACCGACTGCTTGTTCTCCAATTCTTTCCCCAAACGATTCGTTTCTCTTTTTGCGTCTTCTAGTTTCGTCGTCCCCTCGGCCACTTCTCCATCTTCGACTGTCTCTCGAGCATCTTCATGGCGAGCGTCACTTTCGTCCTGGCCGGCGTCGCTGGCGTCGTCCCATACACCATTCAAAATGTCTCTGACGTCTGGATGTGCCTCTGCCACGCTGCCAATCGCCTCTTTCAACCGGCCGACTTTCACCACTTTTTCGCCCTTGTCAGAGAGTAGCTTTTCTTTCATAGACTCATTCTCTGTTACGATAAGTTCGCAAAATACTTGTTTTGCTTCCAGTTGCCTTTGAAGTTTCGTCACCTCCCGAGTCAGACTAGTGTTTTGCTCCTTCAGGGCGTCCGTGTCTCTGTCTTGGATGGCCGTCAACAGACGCTTGAGTTCCTTCACTTCCCTTTCTCTGCCATTTCTTTCGCCTCTCAACTTCATGATGATCTCGTGGAGCTCGCCATTTTCCGTGGCCAAATCCACTCCATTTCCGTATTCGTTTGAAAAGCGTTCCAAGTTTAATCTAAGTTTGGTATTTTCTCGGGTAAGCGCCTCGAGGATCTTTTTCGATACTCCGGGCGTAACGATGGCTCCTTGAGACGATACTCCTTTCTTCTCTAGTATGAGACTCAACTGCGTAATTCTATTCTCGGCTCTTGACAGGGTTTCTTGCGTTCTTTCTAGTTTTTCCGTGACAGAGGTGAGCTCTTCCCTTTTTTCTTGTAGCTGTCGAGCCAGATTTTGGATCCCGACGAGTCGAGTGGACCATTGACTTTTCTCTCTGACCAGCTCCGCCAGCGTACAACGCATGCGGGTCATCTCCGTCGCCAAGGTCGTCAGCTTGCTCGTCTCTGCTTCGTTGTCCATTCTCTTCGGATCTGCTCCGTCTTCCATGCTTCTTCTCACTACACTAAGAGATCTCGAATCGTTTGCGCGTTTTATGGTGTTGCGACGAATAGACGGGACTTTCCCTTTGGTGACGTCACATCCACGTTGTTCTATAGTTCGTTTTTAGCCCATCCACGTCATAAGATGAAGTTTTCTCTCTTTTCCCTGGGACTTTTCGAGGGGAAATATACCGCGTCAAAAAAAGACAGTAAGATAATAGTTCCTCTTTTTTTTTTGGGTGGAGGGTAGATTAGTTTTCGTTTCGTCATTTGACGGACGGGACTTTTCGTGAGAAATGTACCGTGTCACTAGAATTTTCCCCTTCTTTTGTTTTCCTTTTGGGTGGGGGGGGGATTATTTTTCCTTTTCGTCATTTGAAAAAATAAGATATAAATTACAAAATAAAAAATTCGCATGTCGAATGCTTTTGAGACTTTTCGATGGGCGTGAACTGGAATAAATGGTCTCCCGCAGAGTAGGTGGGTGAAGCCGATGTAATATGACACGATTACACCCACATTAGTCATGCGCGGTTGGAGGAGTCTGGAATATATACAACCATGGCAACCAAAAATATGGCTAAAAATAAAATCATATGACCCCCATGACCTCTCAAAATAACCCATTTAGGCTCCGCCCCCAGAGTGTCACGCGTGACGTAGGTGCAATTGACAAAAGGGAGGGGTACGTTGGGAAGCAATTTGTCGCGTGACCTCTTCAATTGTCATCTTTTACCATGGGAGGGGGAAGTAAAGTGACAAAACTTCATAGACCAATCAAATCGCTGCATTTGATCACGTGACACTAAGACCCCGCCCACATTAACTCTCTAACTCTCCGCTCTCGACCAATAGGATTGAGGGATAGAGAGGTTAAACATCAAGCTAAAGTAAGGATTTTATTCAAGTTAAAAAAAGAAGGAAAATTCGTTGTCGTATGTCCGCGTCCTTCATAAAACGTGAAATTAGGAGGTTTCAGGTCGTAGTCGTGCAGTGGACGTCAAAGAAATGAACTAAAAAGAGTGATGCATCTGCAGAGCTGTTGTTTTGATCATTAAATCTATTGTTTTTTGAAGTTGTCGTCGTCGTCGTCGTAGTTGCTTAAGCTCCCTAATAATTTAGGTTACAAGATGACGTGTCTGGTCCCTTGCCTATTGGTCAACTAATGAAAACTTCCTCTTGAAACTGCTAAGCGATGGAAATTTCCCTTTCTCAACATGCGTCCTTGTTCGTACAACTGAAGCAGGTAGATCTGATACCTTTTCATCTTGCTTGATCTCAGAGCATTGAAGGTTTTCATTTTCATGGGAGTCGCCATTGCAATTTCTAGGAACGAACGTAGAGGCTGACAGTTCCATTTTTTAAAATATCTGGTTGAATTTTATAGAAATGAGTCCTGAGCAGTGTGACTAGTTCTGAACAGCATTAGACTCGATTGCCAAACGCTGTTTGGGAAAGGAGCCCTTTCTCGGAGAGGAACAAGTACAACGCCGAACGTACTCTAGAGATTCGAGCCTCAAACAACTAATGCCCTGCTGTACGGGGCCTTTAACAAACGTCTTGGCCCGGGGAGCGGGAAGAATAGCGGAATAGCGGGGTTTTAACACCAGGCCAATGCTTAATTCCCCGCTAAGTGTCGGGGGTCGCGGAGAAGGGGGGATGAGTTTCAGTAGCGTAGCCCGCGAATGACGTCAGAGTGACTGATTTGCAATTTTTGTCTGACTTTTGCCATTTTCCTCATTTTAACGACAAAAGTCAGACAAAAGTGAGGAATTCGCTAAATATTAATTTCAGTTTGTTTGTCTGAGTTTCGGGTCTATAAGTAGTAACTGCACGCAGCGCTACTGACTGATGCATAAGCGCTAATGAAAAGCGGTTTGAGAACGTATGATTTGGTTCGATAATGTGTAATTGTGCCTATGATAGGCTAGACTGCTTGCAGTCCGCCTTTTCTCCTAAAATCCGTCCAGTCCTTATCTCATCCAGCGCGATTGCAAAGCACGATGTTATTATTTAGGGATTGAGACGGGCTTTAACGCCCTCGTGTCTCGCGACAAACGGCCTCATCGCTCGCGTGCTTAGGTTTCTCGTGCAGTAACTTTGCAAAGAAAAATAAGAGACTGCTAGCAGTCTAATGATAGGAAGTAAAAAGACCTCTATAAACTGAGTGGGTTGCAAAGTAGCCTGTAGCATGTTAAGTTTATGGGACTATAGGAGTACAAGTTGTAAAAATTTATCTGTTTGTTTACTGCACCGTATAATTTAATTTTGTTGTTTAATATTATTTCATTTTTAAATGGGCTTTGGCCTGTGACGTTAATCAGTCAATTTCCTTTCATAGAGAGGGAGATAGGGTTAACGAACCTGTCGATCCGAATCGATCCGTACGTGCTAACGATCATGAGTAGGTAAAAAAAACATTAATAATTCCTCATGTTGTTTTATTTTCCTACACTTCTACTTTCTTTTGCAAGCATCAACTTAAGATACCTTTACAAAAGTTCACCAGATTATATCACTTCAGGCTCCAACGGAAGTACTGGCTCTGAATGTTTATTTTAACTTAAAGATTCTAATTGGTAGTTCTCGAGCGGACTCTTCAGTATTGCAAGAAACTAATCATTTACATTTACGTCATAGAGCGGGTGAATAGGCGAACGGATCGGCGGATTTTGAAAATGTTTTTGCCCGGATTTCGGATTCAAAGCGAGAGTTTAACGGATTTCCGGATCCTGCAATTGCAGCGGATTGAGGATTCATCTTTTTTGGGGGACCCGGATTTTGCACTTTGCGTGTAATTCAAATATTTTTGCCGGGATTTCGGATTCAGGGCGAAAATGGAAGGACGGATTTGGTTAATAAATCATAACGGATCGGCGGATTGCATACCCCTATTCACCCCCCTCGTCACACATCACGCTACCAATCAGTTGTGTATTTTAACAAAATGAAAATCTTGAGTTATCTCGCTTTTCTATCATTCTTGGTTGGGAAATTATCTGACGGAATCCGGCTAAAGAAATTTCTTGACAACATGTCCCAGGAAGGTGCAGTGAGTCCGCTGAAATCAGCCGATGCAGAAGTGCAAAAGATTTGCGATCAGGTATCAGTTTAAGCTAGCATATGAGGCAGCTCCCTCATGAAATCTTACTTCTTTCTCCGCTTAACTTTGAAATGCCTTGTTTGGCGATAGCGGACAACCCGAGTAACCCAAGGTGGAGAGCATGCGTACCTATTATCGTGAGCTTAAGTCAAGACGCGACCTTCGAAAGTATAAGGACTGATTTTGCATGCGATAAAAAGATACAGTAAGTTATTTAATCTAAAAATAGCCCTTATATATATTTCCGTGTTTCTTCAGGTCGTCAGTTGGTTTGAGCGAAATGCGAGAGCGCGGCGACAAAGGTGACACTCGGGGGTTAAGACAGAAACTACCGTGTTCGAGGAGTATCACTTATAAAATTTACTTATTTTGATTCTTGTCTTGTTTTCTTTGATTTTGATATTTTATCTTTGATTAAAGAGAAAAATATTTTTGGTTTTAGTGTTTCATTTTGATTTTCCAGCTAATATTTGATTTCCAAAACTTGACGTGTTTGATTTCTCAACTGCATTTTTGATTTCCAAAATTTCCGCGTTTGATTCTTTCAGTAAATGTTTGATTTTCAAAATGAGGTCGTTTGATTTCTCAAATGACACTTTTGATTTCCGAAATTTGTCGCGTTTGATTTACCAAATGGCACTTTTGATTTCCGAAACTTGTCTCGTTTGATTTCTCAAATGACACTTTTGATTTCCAAAATTTGTCTCGTTTGATTTCTCAAATGGCACTTTTGATTTCCAAAATTTGTCTCGTTTGATTTCTCAAATGACACTTTTGATTTCCAAAATTTGTCGCGTTTGATTTCCAAAATTTGTTGCGTTTGATTACTCAAATGGCGTTTTTGATTTCCAAAATGAGACTGATATGGATCTTATCCACGTGACAGTTTCTGTGGGTGGTAAGCCCTACTCAGGGACGGAGGGACACTCACTCAATGGTCACATCACGACCGAACGAGGCAGCAAAGGTGTTTTAGTGAAAAATAGGGATGTGCCGCTGGATAGGGTATGGGTTTCCCAAGGGGGGTTTCGTCCTCTCTGTCCTAAACAGGGATATATATTTGTCAAGAAAACAGTCTAATCATATTTTTACTGGTCGGGATAAGCCGTTTGAAGAAAAAGGAAAATAACTTTGTTATCCTTAAGCAAGGATTTCGGTCACGGCGAAGCAAGGTGGTATGTGAAGTTTTACTGTGGGCCCAGCGTGACAAAACTTAGCGGAGATTTATCACATTCACAGACAAAACTCAGGCATTTCGGAGAAATCTAAACAAACTTAAAACTTTATTTAAAGGTTATTTAGTCCCAATAAAAAGTTATAACCTTTTAAGAGACTAATGTGTTGATCTTCCCTAGGTAAAACGCAGCCCTCGTGTCAAAATTATGCCTAGTGAAAAAAAGGGGGCCGACCTGCACGAAATTGTATACCCTGTTAAGGACAGACTCGCGCCAAATTATACCCCTGTTTAGAACAGAGAGGACGAGACCCAATATTATACCCTATACTATCCAGGGGCACATCCCCTTTTTACACTAGAACACTCTCTCTAACTCGTTCGGTCGTGATGTAACAAGTGACTTAGTGTCCCCCTGGCCTTGCCGTGAGCAAGGCTTACCACCCACAGAACTGTCACGTGTATATCATCCATATCTGTCTCATTCTGGAAATCAAAACGTCATTTTAGAAATCAAACGCGACAAATTTTGGAAATCAAAAGTGTTATTTGAGAAATCAAACGCGATAAATTTTGGAAATCAAAAGTGTCATTTGAGAAATCAAACGCGGCAAACTTTGTAAATCGAACGCGTCATATTTTGGAAATCAAACGCGTCAAATTTTGGAAATCAAAATTGTTATTAGAGAAATGAAACGCGACAATAAAAACCAAAGGATTTTTCCTTTCAATCATAGACAAGATATCAAAATCATAGAGGACAAGAAAAGGATCAGACATAGTAAATTTT